AAAAAAAAAAAAAAAAAAAGAAAGAAGGAAAATGGATTGTCTGAATTTAAAATGGCCTCTGCCACTTAGCAGCCAAAACACATTGACCAAGTGGCCTGCATCTTCTGAACCATAGTATCCCTTCTACAAAATGGAGTTACTGCCTCAGAGCACCTCACAGAGTGTCTGCATACAGTAAGAGCTCATAGACTTGTGAACCAGTGTGAATCCAAGGGCTTACCAATGGCAAAGTGGTGTGCATTTTCACAACCAATGTTATAAATGCATTTATTTTATTTTATTTTGTTTTTTTGAGTCAGAGTCACCCAGGCTGGAGTGCAGTGGCATGCTCATGGCCACAACAGCCTCAACCTGCTGGGCTCATGCGATCCTTTCGTCTTGGCCTCCCAAATAGCTGGAACTAGAGGCACATGGCACCACACTCGCCTAATTTTTTGATTTATTGTAGAGACAAGGTTTCACCAAGTTGCCCAGGCTGCTCTCAAACCCCTGGGCTCAGGCAGTCCTCTCGCCTCTTGCCTCCGCCTCCCAAAGTGCTGGGATTATAGGCATGAGCCACCATGCCCAGCTGGTATAAATGCATTTAAAGGAAGTCTAGCACATGACTGCTTTTAAGTTTAGTGTCTTTGTGTGAAGAACCCTGTCACCATAATGACAGACATAGTCAATCTGTCACAAGGTGTCAGTGCACGGTGAGAGCATGGAGTGACTTGTCTCAGTTTCCTCATTTGCAAAAGAGATGATGGAGATCCCTAACCTGTAGGTGTTTTGGTGAAGGCTAAAGAGTTAAACACAGGAAGTGCTTAGAATGCTTTCCTGGCCAGGCTCGGTGGCTCAACCTGTAATCCCAGCACTTTGGAAGGCCGAGGTGAGTGAATTGCCTGAGCCCGTGAGTTTGAGACCAGCCTGGGCAACTTGGCGAGACCGCATCTCTACAATAAATCAAAAATTAGCCAGACATGGTAGTGTGCACCTGTAGTTCCAGCTACTTGGAAGGCTGAGGCGAAAAGATGCCAGAGCCCAGCAGGTCGAGGCTGCAGTGGCCAGGAGCGTGCCACTGTACCCCAGTCTGGGTGACAGAGTGAGGCTCCAACTGGAAATAAGTTAATTAATTAATTAATTAAATAAAATAAAAGGTGGGTATGTGCAGAGAAGAGCGAGAAGCCAACAGACGCTGAAGCATAGTGAAGCAATAGGGGATACCAGGTCAGGGAAGTAGTAGAAAAAAAAAAAAAAGAATGCTTTCCTAACACGTAGTAAGTGTGGAGTTGATGCTAGGCTGTTACTGTGGCACTTTAAGCTTGGTGCTGTCTCCCCATTTTACAGATGTGGATACAAAGTCCCTACAAAGTCTGGGGCATAATTGGAATTTAAACCCAGGTTTTTAGAACCTCAAAACCTGTGTTCTCAAGTGCTACTCTACTGTGTACTCAAGGGCAAATTTCAGGGGGGAAATTACTCCAAATTACTCTTTCTTCTTTTTTCTTTTTTCTTTTTTTGAGTTGAAGTCTCCTCACTCTTGCCCAGGCTGGAGGATGACACTGGCTGGGTGGCACGCTCCAGGCCACCATGGCCTCAACCTGCTGGGCTCAGGCAGTCCTTCTACCTCAGCCTCCCAAGTAGTGGAAACAACAGGCATGCACTACCATGCCTGGCTAATTTTTTTATTTATTGTAGAGATGAGGTCTCACCAAGTTGCCCAGGCTAATCTTGAACCCATGGGCTCAGGCAATCCTCTCACCTCAGCCCAGATTATTCTTGAGTTTCAAGAGGAAGGAGTAAGGATCCTTCTCACAACTTAGTGTCAATACCTTTCAACTCAGGAAAGCCAATATTGGAGCAAGTTCTAAACCATAATGTACTTGAGACTGAGGATGGGGCCCTGCAGTCCCTTTGTGGAGCTCTACACTTCGGGTCCCCCTCATGTCCGTTTATGGCTCTCTCTCTGCCTCAGCACATAAACCCCGTGGCTGCCTCCCTGATCCAGAAGATGCTTCAGACAGATCCCACTGCCCGCCCAACCATTAATGAGCTGCTCAGTGACGAGTTTTTTACTTCTGGTTACATCCCTGCCCGTCTCCCCATCACCTGCCTCACCATCCCACCGAGGTTTTCAATTGCTCCAACCAGCCTGGACCCCAGCAATCGGAAGCCCCTCACGGTCCTCAATAAAGGTAAAACAAGGGTCTGGGCAAGATGGCAGACCCCCAGAGAGAGCCCAGGCTTTAGGGGTGTGTGTGGCTTACTCCTTGGTCCCCTTAGCTCAGGTGAGAAGCAGGGCAGGCCTTATTTTTAAATCTGCAGTTTTCGTGCCGATCTGCTCCTCAGCCCCGTCAGGAAAGATAGACCTTATCATGGCTGGATAAATCCACTGGGTCCGAGGAGAAAATGGACTGAATGCCAAGGCTGGAAAGTTTTTTTTCATCACTTGTTTAGAAAATTTTTAACATCACTCTTATGTGGTTCATTGAAAAAAATATGGAAATCTTCAAATATACACAGAGCATAATGCAATGGATCTTTTCATATCCACCAAATTCAGTCATCATCATGATTTTGTCATATTTGGTTCACTAGTATTTTGTTTCTTTGAAGTATTTTTAAAGTTAACCCCAAACATTTTGCCATTTTATCCTTATCTCAACTCTGAATGCATCTCTTAAAAATGGTGAATATTTTCTTATAAAACCATAAAGCCACATGCCATGGCTCAGGTTGCCATTGCTTCTAGATCTCTTCAGAGGACAGAATTAGGAAATACATATAGCAGAGGGCTGGAGTTTATGATGATATTTCTGATTTCCCCCCTTTTAACATTTTATTTTGATATTACTTCAACCTCATGAAAAAAGGTGGAATAAACAAAAACTCCTAAAATCCTCTTTTACCCAGATTCACCAGTTACATTTTTACATTTGGTTTATCAGTCTGTCTCTCACAGTGATAATCACATTACATGACACAGTTACCAAGTTTAGGAAATTTAACCTTGAAATAGTATTACAGCAACCTTTTTCTCCACCGTGGAGTTACTGCTTTTCTTTTGGCAATTTTTAAGTGTCTGATTGAGACATAATAATACATTTTTACTTCTTTGATTTATACTTGTATTTTTTTTCTCTTAAACTGGAAATCTTATTGCTAATGTACTTAAATTTTCTAGTGTATGTAAATGAGTTCCTGTTGTTGTTATTTCATTATTTTATTTATTTATGTTTTTGAATCTGAGTCTAGGTTTGTCACCTAGGCTAGGGTGCAGTGGCATGCTCATAGACACTGCAGCCTCGGCCTACTAGGCTCAAACAATCTTTCCACTTCAGCCTTCCAAGTAGCTGGAATTATAGGCATGTGCCACCACGCCTGGCTAATTTTTTAATTTATTGTAGAGATGAGGTCTCACCAAGTTGCCCAGGCTAGTCTTGAACCCATGGGCTCAGGCAATCCTCTCACCTCAGCCCCCTGGGCTCAGGCAGTATTCTTGCCTCTGTCTCCCAAAGTGCTGGAATTACAGTCATGAGCCATTGTACCTGGCTACTTTCTGTTATTAAATGATATTTTATTTTTTTGCATTCTTACTTGTCCTTAGAATATGTTTCACTAAGGATATATAGTTTGTTTTTTCAGAAACAGTCACTTGAAATTATTTTTTTCTTTCTTTCTTTTTTTTTGAAGTAGCTGGAACTACAGGCGTGTGCCACCATACCCAGCTAATTTTTTGCTTTATTGTAGAGATGAGGTCTCACCAAGTTGCCCAGGCTGGTCTCAAACCCATGGGCTCAGGCAGTCCTCTCACCCAGGCCTCCCAAAGTGCTGGGATTATAGGTTTGAGCCACTGCACCTGACTGAAATACTTTTTTTTAAATGTGGATATATGACCAATTTGATGTGCAACTTAAGTTCATTTGTTTCCATTTTTAGGGATTACATTTTTTAAAATTTTATTTTGGAATAATTTTAAGCTTATGCAGAAAAGTTGCGACAAAAAAGACTTTCTAGAGAGTCAGTATCTCACATAACCATAGAATAATGATTAAAACTAAGACACTAACTCTGGGATATACTCTTGACAAACTCCAGACTTGGACTCTATCAATTTTGGTTTTTTCACTAATATCCCTTTTTCTGTGCCAGGTTCCAATTCAGGACCCCACATGGCATTTAGTTGTCATTGTCATGCTAACCTTGATGACTCAGTGAAGGTGACATCCAGTGGATTTTTCCACTGCAAAGGTAGTTTTCTCCCTTGTGGGGAACAATTTTGAGACTCTGAGCATCCGAAGTTCTGTGGCCTCACTGTGAGCATATGCACCTGTCACAGGAGCACTGCAGCTGCTGCTCTGATTACCTGGCATGGACTAGTTCCCCCAAAGCAGCAATAAGTAGAAGTTTTTCTCTGGGAGCAGCATGCCAACTGTGGCAGGGAGTTCTGTGCCCCTCCCAGCTTCCCCTGTTTTTGTTACCTGCCTAGGCATGGAGAACCCCCTGCCTGAGCGTCCCCGCGAAAAAGAGGAACCAGTGGTTCGAGAGACAGGCGAGGTGGTCGACTGCCACCTCAGTGACATGCTGCAGCAGCTACACAGCGTCAATGCTTCCAAGCCTTCAGAGCGAGGGCTGGTGAGGCAAGGTGGGTACTGGAGGCCTGGGCGGGGGAAGTCTCAGCTAACAGTCTTGGTGATGTGTCCAGGCCTGTCTCCATAATACCTGTGGGTCCCCTATTGTCCTGTTTATCAGAATCTAGATGTGTTAGCCTGATACCTGAGGCTCTGCATGGTATGGCTCCTGCCTTATTTTTCTGATCTGTGTCTTCTTTTTTTTGAGTCAGAGTCCACTTTGTCGCCCAGGCTGGAATGCAGTAGCATGCTCACGGCCAATGCAGCCTTGACCTGCTGGGCTCAGGTGATCCTTCCACCTCAGCCTGCTAAGTAGCTGGAACCACAGGCACACGCTACCATGCCCTAATTTTTTGATTTATGTAGAGATGAGATCTCTCCAAATTGCCCAGGCTGGTCTCAAACCCCCAGACTCAGGCAGTCCTCTCGCCTCAGCCTCCCAAAGTGTGTACCGGGATGACAGGCATCAGCCACAACCCCTGGCCTGATCTGTCGTCTTTCCCTAGCACCTCAAAGTGCCACCTTCATACATCTGCACAGGCTGTTTCACCTGCGTAGTGAATTCCTATTCATTCATTGAGACCATCAGGGTTTTGGCCCTACTGCTCCCCGCCTCGAAATGCACTTCCTACAAACGCTGAGTGGTTCACACTCACCTTCTTCAAGTATTTGCTCAGTGTTACCTCCATGAACATTTCCCTGGCCCCTTTGCTAGCACTTCTTACCTGCTTCATGGTTTGACATTTCTCGCCCAACAATCCAACATTTCTTCCTTTGTTTATTGTATTTAAAATAAAGGATTGCCTGTAATTCTGGCTACTTGGAAGGCTGAGGCGGAAGGATCGCCAGAGCCCAGCAGGCCGAGGCTGCGGTGGCCGGGAGCAGCCACTGCACTCCAGTCTGGGCGACAGAGTGAGACTCCAGCTCAAAAAATAAATAAATAAATAAAATAAAATAAGGGATTTGTTGTGTGCATTGAACATCACATTTTGAGGTATTTGGAATTGTCTGCTCACAGCTGCTTAATCACTCCAAACTGGAAAACTACTAGATCATGTCAGCAATTGACTCTTACTGTGATGGAAGTAACTTACATATTTTGTCAATACTTTTGATTTGTCTTTGTCCCTACAACTACAGTGTAAGCTCCATGAGGCTGGGTTTTTGTTTTGGGGGGGGGGTTTGAGTTGTAGTCTCACTCTGTTGCCCAGGCTGGAGTGCAGTGGCACACTCATGGCCACTCCAGTGTCGACCTGCTGGGCTCCGGCAATCCTTCGCCTCAGTCTTCCAAGAAGTCAGAACTGCAGGCACGTACTACCACGCCTGGCTAATTTTTGATTTATTGTGGAGACGAAGTCTTGCCAAGTTGCCTGGGCTGATCTCAAACTCACGGGCTCGGGCAATCCACTCACTTTGGCCTCCCAAAGTGCTGGGATTACAGGCTGAGCCACTGAGCCCAACCAGGTTTTGTCTCTTGCTCATTCTATGACAGTGCCTGGCACACAGCAGGCCTTCAATAAATGGGTCAACTTGAATGAAGGAATGAGTGGCACTTGGAGTGCTGTGCTGTAACTTTCTACTTAAATGTCATCTGCTGTTGCTTGTCTGAGCTTATTGGCAACAGTGACCCTGCTTTGCTCTTCTGTGGGACCCCAGGCCTCTTGGCTGGGCCCTGGTAGGGTCCCTAGCAGGCTCCCTGGTGTGGGCCACATGAGCAGTTCAGAGGGGAAGAGGCTGGTCCTCACTGCTTGTCTGTCTGTTTCTGTCTCAGAGGAGGCTGAGGATCCTGCCTGCATCCCCATCTTCTGGATCAGCAAGTGGGTGGACTATTCGGACAAGTATGGCCTCGGTAGGTTTCTTCCAGAATGGGTGAGTGGCTCAGGATAGCCCTGTGAATAAAAGCCTCTGCCTTTTTTTGCTCCTAGGTCTTCTCTCAGTGCTCTGTCATCTCCATCCCAGGTCTCTAGCTCCAGCTCTCAGTGCTCCCCCAACTTCCTACTTCTCCCTTCTGAGGTTTCCCTCTACCTGTCCCTAGGGTATCAGCTATGTGACAACAGCGTAGGAGTACTCTTCAATGACTCGACACGCCTTATCCTCTATAACGATGGTGAGAGTCTACAATACATAGAGCGTGATGGCACCGAGTCCTACCTCTCTGTGAGTTCCCACCCCAACTCCTTGATGAAGAAGGTGAGTGCTGGCCAGCCCAGTGGCGTGGTGTTTCTGGGAGCAGGACTCGTGCTGGGACCAGACTCCAATTCTGGAATCCTCCCTCAATTTTCACGCAGATCACCCTCCTTAAGTATTTCCGCAATTACATGAGTGAACACCTACTGAAGGCAGGTGCCAACATCACACCGCGGGAAGGTGATGAACTGGCTCGGCTACCCTACCTGCGAACCTGGTTCCGTACCCGCAGCGCCATCATCCTGCACCTCAGCAATGGCACCGTGCAGATCAACTTCTTCCAGGTAAAAGCTGGAGGTGGACGGGGCAGTAGAGAGTTGGGGTGGGCTCTGTACCTGGTGGGGCCCATGGGAGTTGAGTGGGAGTGGGTTCCTGTCCTTGGCAGCAGGCAATAGGCAGGAAAAAAGTGAGGTGGGGGACTCCCCCTCCACCAACTGGGGTACTTTCCTCCCCTCTCCCCACATACACCAGCAGCTGGGATCTTCATTGCCCATCCCCCTCTCTTACAGGACCACACCAAGCTCATCCTGTGCCCACTGATGGCAGCCGTGACCTACATTGATGAGAAGCGGGACTTTCGCACATACCGCCTGAGCCTCCTGGAGGAGTATGGCTGCTGCAAGGAGCTGGCCAGCCGGCTCCGCTACGCACGCACGATGGTGGACAAGCTGCTGAGCTCACGCTCAGCCTCCAACCGCCTCAAGGCTTCCTCCTAGCCTCCCTTCCCAGACTGGTGCCTCTCTTCATTCCACCAGCACCTGGGGCCAACACTGGCAGCTCCCATGGTGCTGTCCTTGAAAGTGCCTCCCAGCCCTGGGGGCTGGGCAAAGCTGCAACATCCTTGCAGGTGGGGTTGCTGTGTAAGTTATTTTTGTACATGTTCTGGTGTGGGTTCCATAGCCTCTTCCCCTTCCCCTCAGCCCCACCATATGAATTGTACAGAGCATTTCTATTGAATTTGGGACTGTCTTCGCTTTGGCTTTATATATATTAAACAGATGTGAATCTTCCTTTTATTCTTGGATTCCCTGAGTAGTCATGGGCTCGGAGGGCAAATCTCTGCTCCAGCAGCCCTGGGCAGTCAAGCCTCTTTGCCAGTCTCTTCTGATGCCGAGGCCAGCCTTAGCTGTGAGCCCAACTTTTCCACCAGCCAACATAGAGGCCACCTCTGTGGCCAGCCTGTCTCAGCTCCCAGCAGCCTCTGAGACTGGCAGATAGTAGGGCAGGAAAAGGCTCTCGGAGGCGCAGCTCTTCATGGCGCGGTGCGTGTGGAGGAGCAGCCGTGGGAAGCGGCTTGTGAAGTACTGGACGAAGCTGTCAGGAACTTGACCCAGGGCCTGCCGTGCCTCAACTGGAAGCTCCCTGTAGTGGTGCTTCTGAGGGGTGAGTAGGGCAGAGAGCTCTGGCTCAGCTGTGACCAGGCCCGCCCAAGATCCAGGCCCCACCCAGGTCCCACCCAGGTCCTAGAACACACCTTGTTTCTCATAGCACGGAGCAGGTCTCGCACTGATGTTCCCTTATATGACCGGAACCTTCTCAGATCTGTGGGTAGGGAAATCAGTGGCAGAGCTGACCCTGCTGGCTCCCCTCCAGCCTTCCAGTCTCGCCCAGGTGTGGCCTCTACCTGTCTGCAGCGGCATGGAGATGTGCTTGTGCCAGTTGTTGCGGACTACCACATAGCCTCCTGCCTCCAGCGCCCTCACCAGGGGCTCCTGCTCAGACTCCTTCTCCAGCCAATCGCTGACGTCCTAGGACCCCATAGAGCTCCTGAGCCTCGTGACCGTGCCAGAGGCCACATGGCCAAGAGTGCATCAGATGACTTAGGGGAATGGTTTAGGTTATCTGATAAAGATCCTTGCCTCTTAGGGAGTGCAGCTTCTTCGTACCACACTTCCATGTTATCTACCACCAACCTATAAGGTAGGTACTGCTGTCCCCATTCTACAGATTAGCAAACTGAGGCCCAGAGGTACAGTCTCTTGCTCAAGGTCAGTCACATGAGTGGAATGGGCTATCTGGGTACAGGCACAGCATGAATGACAACTCAGGTGGGAAAGAATGGGTCTATTCCCATACAAGGTGCTGCTAGGACTAGCAAAGCTGGTGAGGAGTGGACTGTTGGAGTGGCAGGATGACAAGAGTATAGGAGTCCAGGCTGTGTCCTGGTTTAGATAAGCAGCCAGGCTGCCTGGGCCAGGTAGCTCTTCCTGTTTTCCCCTAGCCAACCTGACACCCCCCTTCTCATTGCTCAGGACCCAAAGTTGGGACTTTTGCCCAAATTATGGCTGCACATTCTAAGTTTCCCTCTGACCTGGAAGAACTGGAGTTGTTTGGCTCTGCTCCAAAAGAAGGGATGGGCCAGCACCTGGGGAGCAGAGGGGCGTGCCTGCGGCAGCGGGTTCAACATGGCTTCAACTAGGTCCTGGGCAACAACCTGGTCTGGAGATGGAAGTGGAAGGATGGCTCGGGCCTGCCCCATCTCGCCCTCCTCCCTCCCTTCTCTGCTGGGCCCAGCGCTCCCTCACCGTGGGCCTCTTCCTCCAGGTGAGCCAGACAGGGAGCTCCCGCAAGAATGTTTGCCTGGCGATAAAGACTCTCTCCAAAGGGGTGGCTGCCACCGGAAAGCACATAATAGAACACGCAGCCTGCTGAGAAAATGTCCACTGCGGTGGTCTGGGGGCCAGAGAGGTGGGTGTGAGAAGAAAATCTCTGCTTCCGTGAAGTCAGCATGGCTTACTCTTCCCACGGGCAGATAGGCAGCCAGGGGTTTGGTTCTCACAGGAACTTCAGGGTACTTCCTGGGCAGCATCTCTGGTGCTAAGTACCCTCTCATCTTCACTATTAAAAGGGACCTGTGGTTTTCATCTAAAACCCCCCTGTCCTCACTGAGCTTCTAGTTCAGGTTTCAAGCTTCATTCGTTCCTACAGGATGCAGGCAGGTAACATGACTGGGTGAGGCTGGCCAGGCATGAGGCGAAAAAGCAGTGGCGAGGTCTGTGGTGACCTAATGAGCCCTGTCTACAGGGGCAGCTGGTCACTAGCTCCAGCTTTTTGTCACCAGAGAACTCTGCCAGGGTGCCAGAAGTGACTTTTTAACTAAAAGATGAGGTCAGCCAGGCATATGGCTCACGTCTGTAATCCTAGTACTTTGGGAAGCTGAGGCAGGAGAATTGCTTGAGCCTAGGAATTAGAGACCAGCCTGGGCAACATAGTCAGACATCGTCTCTACAAAAAAATTAAAAAATTAGCCAGGAATGGTGGCGCACACCTATAGTCCCAGCTACTTGGGATGCTGAGGAGGGAGGATTGTCTGAGCCCAGAAGGTTGAGGCTGCCGTGAGCTGTGATCATGCTGCTGCACTCCAGCCTGGGTGATAGAGTGAAAGCTCAACTGAAAAAAATAAGAGATGAGGACTTGCTATATTACCCAGGCTGGTCTTGAACTCCTGGGCTCAAGTGATCCTCCCACCTTGGCCTCCCAAAATGCCAGGATTACAGGTATGAGCCACCACACCCAGCCCAGAGCTGACTTTTTAAAATAATCCAGAAATCTAGATTTTTATGTGGAATTTCTCAAATGTTAAAGTATTGGCATCTAATTAAAAAAATAAAATGTACATCTGTGCATTTAATCTTGGGGCTTCAGGTCACCACTTTGAGCTTTCTCTGGACTTGAGGAGTGGAGATGGCTTTGCTTAATGATTGTCTTTTTGTGTTATTGTCATCTCTTTCCATGACTTCAGCTTCTACCCATACACTGCCACTCAAAATCTTTAATCCTGAGGTCCCAAACTCAAGTGTCTATGTGAGTCAGACACTGCTTGTGCTCCAACTAAATTAGATTAGCTTATCTGAAGCTCCCCTAAACCCTTGACATCAGTGGTTCTTTTGTTTATCTGTTTCTTTTTGAGTCAGAATCTCACTCTGTTGCCCAGTCTGGTGTGCAGTGGCACGCTCACGGCCGCTGCAGCCTTGACCCACTAGGTTCAAGTGATCCTTTGCCTCAGTCTTCCAAGTAGCTGCAACTACAGGCACATACCACTATACCCAGCTAATATTTTGATTTATTGTAGGATAAGGTCTCTCCATGTTGCTCAGACTGGTCTCAAACCTGTGGGCTTAGGTAATCCTCTTGCCTTCACCTTCCAGGGTGATGGGATTACAGGCATGAGCCTCCATGCTCGGCTATCAGTGATTCTTGAACTTGACTCCATATTAAAATCATGTGGGTCCCTATCTCAGGCAGATTAGGTCAGAACTACCAGGTGTGAGGTTTAGCCATCTTTTTTCAAGTTCCCTGGCAATTATGAAGCATAGTGAGAATTGAAAACCATCTTCAGGTGTGGTGGCACACACCTGTAATCTCAGCACTATGGGAGGCTGATGTGGGAGAATTGCTTGTGGCCAGGAGTTCAAGACCAGCCTGGGCAACAGTGTCTCTAAAACAATGAAAAAATTAGCCGGGTGTTGTGGTGCGTGTTTGTAGTCCCAGCTACTTGAGAGGCTGAGGTGGAGGATTACTTGAGCCCAGGAGTTCGAGGCTGCAGTGAGTTATGATCATGCCACTGCACTCCAGCCTGGGTGACTAAGAGAGACCCTGTCTCAGGAAAAAAAAGAAATTCTAGCTCAGGGTTTCTCAACTTCAGCACTATTGACATTCTGTCAATTCCCTCTGTAGGGGCTGTCCTGTGCATTATAAGATGTTTAGCAGCACCCCGGGCATCTACCTACAAGATGCCAGTAGCACTTCCCTCCTAAACTGTAACAGTCAAAAGTCTCCAGACATTGCCTAAGGCCCCTGGGTAGCAAAATAGTTCCTGACTATGAACCACTGCTCTAGGTAAGAAGAGATAAATTATGCCCTCTTTAAGATGAAGAAGCAGAAACTCTGAAGGAGTGGCTGCAGGTCATAGAACAAGTGACATGGAGCCTTGTCTGGAGGGGAACAGAGAGAGGGGAGAGCCATTATCTGGTTGATGACTTGATGGGAAGACTCACTGGACTGCCTGGTGGCAGGAGCTGCAGGAGCTCAGGCGCCATCCAGCCTTCTGTGCCAGGGATGCCTGAGTGGAGGCTAAAGCTACAGCGGCCTGCTGGCAGCTTCTTACAAAGGCCGAAGTCCGAGAGGACCACCCTGCTTGGACCCTGGCCATCAGGCCCTGCGATGAGAATGTTGCCTGGCTTCAGGTCCCGGTGTACTGTGAGAAAGGAGCAGAGAGGGAGCAGGTTGCTCAGGGAGAAGGCAGTGGGGCAAGGATGGGCAGCGAGAGGCAGGGGCACGGCTGGTACCTATGTGTAAAGAATGCAGGTGGGCCAGGCCAGACATCAGTTGCCGCAGCACCATCTCAGGCTTCAGGTCCCCACGGTCCAGGTCGGGTTTTTCCACGTACTGAGGGGCAGCAAGGGACAAGGCATCTGTCTCCAGCCCAGGGTCTTCTCATCGTCCCTCCCTGAGCCCCCAACACACCTCCTGCAAGGATTCCTGGCAGAGCTCCAGGGCAATGTAGTGGAACTGGGGTCCCCTCTCGGTGCAGAAGTAGCGGAGCACATTGGGGTGCCTGTCAGACTCTTGCAGCAACTGGACCTCCCGCCGAACCAGGCCAAAGCATTCACGGAGGAGCCGCTTGACAGCCACTGCCCGCCCCTCAAACTGTCCACTGGGAGGTGGGTAATGGGGGCAAGGTGCATTTAGAGCAGATAAAGGAAAGAGGGGGAAGGGGGCCGGGGGACCGGTGAGCAAGGCATCAACCTCTAACCACCTCAGGGAGTCTTGGAAAGAATGGTTCTCAAAGGAATAGTAAGGGCTGCGAGCCTCATGTCCCCAGCCTGGGCTCCTGGCTGCCACTCACCGGAAAACAAAAGTCCCACCTGCTCCACGGCCCAGCACATCCTTCGGATTGAAGGAGATCTTCCCCACCACAGTGAGCTCAGCTAGGGGAGAGGAAGGTGGTTGTTCAGGGACCTGCCTTGCCTTTCTCCGGACTTTCCCTGATTCCATGCTCAGCCAGGTGCAATGGGTCAGAGCAAGACCATGGGCACTAGACTGTCTGGGCCCAACACCTGGTGCCACCACTTTTTCTTGGTGTGGACTTAGGCAAGTTACTCACGTACCTGCCCTGTGTTCTCATCTGTAAAGCAGAGCTAAGGTGACCGATCCTGTACCGTATTATCACGAGGACTGAGTGGACAGAAGGGTAGGGGGGTGTTTGCTCTATTATTGTCTTGTAGCTCTCTCCCTCTCTCCACATCTTTTGCCCAGGTTTCTTTCCTTTACGTCCTCTGTCATTCTCCCCACTGCTGCCACTTGTAACTGAATGCTTTTAACTGAGGTTGAATCAGCTTCAGACAGGAAGGTGAGATTTGACAGTTGGAAGCATCGTGAGCATGGACATCATCACAGAAGACACTGGCCCAGCCCAGAAGGGAAAGCAGTGGGCATTTGGAGGCTAAGCTGACCCAGAGTTAGCTCTAGGGTGAAAGGGAGCCCCCAGTAGGCCTTGGTTTCCCATTAAGATGGGTGAAGTTAGCTCAGGTGGGCAAGGTCTATGGGTTGTGACAGTGATGGCTCTTCCACTTGGGTAGCTTGTGAGAGGCTTCTCTGACCCAGGTACGTCTGGGCAGGCTGTTCCCTGCTTAGCTCCAAGGGGCACTATTCATGTTGCAAAATACATATGGCACCCCTAGAGTGGTGCAGTGCAGAGCATTCTACTTAGGAAGAGCACCAGCTTCTACTTCAACAATCAGCTCTAGGAAAGCAAGTGAAATCAGTGTTAGGGATCAGTGAAAAAGCACCACACAGACTTCATCACTGCTCTGGGTTACCCTCTTCAAGCTCATGCTCATGTCAGCAAGATGCAAGTGATAGCCTAAATTGGTGTACCCTGGACTTTCAGAAGTGGGTTCAGGGCCTGGCTGGGAGCACATCACCCACACATAGGAGAGACAGGCAGCTTGGGACGTAGGGACAGAGCTGCCTGACAGCCTGTTTGAACAAGCCCTGCTCCTCTGACTCCAGGTGAGGCCACCCTTCCAACACTTCTCTGTGCTGGTCATTTAATTCTGTTGGGCTCCCAGTCTCTTGTGTGTCTACCTTCCCTGCTCTTGAAGCACTCAACATGGAATGGGTTAGATGTTTCAGAGCACCCTCGATGCTAGAGAGAGGCAGACTTAGGGCCACAAAGACTTTGAAAGTAGAAATAATGAGCTGGGGAGTTCAATCTGCATGCCTGGATATTTGCTGTCACTTGGCTCCTCTTTCTGCATCATTATAATGGAGACACAGCAAATGCAGGAATTAAGTTCTAAAGTAACCGAACGTTGCCATGTCAAGGGAAAATGGCAGACAGAATTACCTCTGGAAATCCTGAACACACATGATGCACTTCACTGCTTCCTTTTAGGCTGTTTGTTGAACACCTAAAGTCAGCCACATCCTTTCATAAGTTTTTGGCAGGGCCTGAGCAGGGGCACCATCCCACAGATTAAGAGCACATGCTAGAACCACTGAGCTGCCACTGACTAGTTTTGAAGGCTGCGGCGGGTAGGTGTGGTGGGGGAGGGGGCATCACTAAACCTTTCTGCTTCATTTCCTCTCCCATAAAAGAGGCATTACAATAGTATCCACCTCACAGAAATGTTGTATCATGAGTTAATACATAGGAATACAGGCACCATCAGAATAGTGTCTGGTACACAGTAAGTGGGGTGAGTATTACCTAGCCCCACCCTGAGCCAGTAAAATGAAAAGAACTGCAATAAATGTTAGCTCTGGTTCTGCTGAATTGTATCCATTTGACGTTGGATATATGATGCAGTCAGCGATCCTAAAGGATGCCAAGCATGTGTAGATGAGTTTGTGTATGTTAAATGAGAGTAGGATGTGACTCCATTGTAAATTTTCTAGACCATAAAGAGGCCATGAGGACTTTGACATGAACCATTCTGGAGAAAGATGGAGCCTGGGCTGTCTGAGGAGAGCCTCAAGCCACACTCATCTCTCTGGAGTCAGGATGTCCAGGGAAATGTGTGGGTGTTTTTCTTTTCTTTTCTTTTCTCTCTTTTTTTTTTTTGAGTCAGAGTCTCACTCTGTCACCCAGGCTGGAGTGCAATATCATGCTCATGCCTACTGCATCCTCAACATGCTGGGCTCAGGTGATTCTTCCGCCCCAGCCTTTCAAGTAGCTAGGACTACAGTCCCGCCCCACCATGCCTGACTAATTTTTTGATTTTGTAGAGATGAGGTCTCACCAAGTTGCCCAGACTGGTCTTGAACCCCTGGGCTCGGGCAATCCTCTCATCTCTGCCTCCCAAAGTGCTGGGATTACCAGAGGTGAGTCACCACACCTGGCTGAGATGTTCATTTTGAGTGCAGTGGGGTGGGTATTACCTGGCCCCACCCTGAGCCAGTAAAATGAAAAGAACTGCAGTGCCTCAGGGCTCACGCAACTCTGCTGTGAGACCCTCTGAAAGAGCTGACCCCAAGGAAGGGGCCTATTTCCCTTTGGCAGAGGCACAGCAGGCACGGAGGTGAACACTGGGAACAGCCCTGGAGCATCCAGCCAGAATGGGGTGCACTTCAGCATGAAGAAGTGACAGAAAAGTGGGCCAAGGCATGAGGACGTGGTTTGAGTAGTGGCCAGGAGGTGCCAGCACCATTGCAAAGAGGACAGAAGACATGAGCCCTGCCTGGAGCCAAAGAAGCAGAAACAGCAGTCTGAGCTGATCAATAAACACATGTGAGAAGCCCCAGAGCCTCCCAAAGATGCCAGAGGAAGCATGAACAACTTATTTAGAGGATTAAATTGAGGGGAGATGAGAGAAGTGTTTAAAAAGTAAAGAGCAAGCCGGGCTTGGTGGCTCAGCCTGTAATCCCGTGCTTTGGGAAGCTGAGGTGAGTGGATT